CTTACAGCGTCCTTGCCCTATAACGACTAAGTGACGACTTACAGCGTATAATTCGCGTCTTACGGTATCGTCCCCCGATAACCGGCGTATAATCGCGACTTACGGTATCTCTATCCGATCACCTGCGGTTATTCGCGTCTTACCGCGTCCTTGCCCTATGATGACGACGTGACGACTTACAGCGTATATTTCGCGCCTTATTACGGCTGGCACCGCTTTATTGCGTATTCGCGACTTACGGCGCGTACCGTCCTGGAACCGGGACTAGCGTCTTACGGCGTAACTTTCCGAGGCACCTCGTATTAAACTGCCGTCGCAGCCTACCTAAATAAACAAATGCACAATGTCCCCCAAATTACCCGACTCACCGCGATGTGGATCCGTTCATCGACTAACTGCGGTCACTGGGTTACCATTGTATCGCATATAACGTTCTCTGCCGCTCTGCCGATGGCATCCACCCTGCCAGTGATGGATACGTCCGAGCTTGACGCAGGCCCTTCCTATATTTAAATTTTACCCGAACTCTACTGGAGCTATTCCCGAACCTATCGAGGTGTAAGTACCAGTGAGGGACCTATGTTTGCGTCTTACGGTGTCTCCCCGACCACCAGCGTATCGCGTCTTACGGCGTCTCCCCGACCGCCAGCGTATATCGCGCCTTACGGTGTCTCCCCGACCACCAGCGTATCGCGTCTTACGGTGTCTCCCCGACAACCAGCGTATATCGCGTCTTACGGTGTCTCCCCGACTACCAGCGTATATCGCGTCTTACAGTGCCGCCCTCCGGTCACAAGCGTATGTTCGCGCTTTACTGCGTGCTCCTAGGTGTCTTAGTGTCCCGTTTCCGTTTGCTCCCATGTAACTAGACTTGGACGTTTTTCAGGTCCCTTCTCCCCAATGATGCGTCCTTACCGGCAGAACTTAACGCGCAGGGGCGTGGTCGCATGCTCCTTCCTCTCTTCCGCCCGGGCTAAACACGTCTTATTATGTCGTACGTTCCATTCCTGTCAGGGGTCTCGTTTCTAATCCTAGGTTCCTGGTTATATGTGCGAGAATATCATGCCTACGCGGTGGGCGAATCGTGAATCCTCCAGCCTCCGAAACTTGTCTCCCGTTCCCGCCTGAGTGACTGTACGTACGTGTAGCTGCGTGTTCATCGTAAGGGTAAGAGAAAGAGAGAGAGAGAGAGAGAGAGAGAGAGAGAGAGACAGATAGAGAAAAGAGAGAGAAAAGGGAGAAAGAGAGAGGAAGCGAGAGATAACGAAGGAGGAAGAGAGAGAGAGATAACGAAGGGGAGAGAGAGAGAGGGAGAGAGAGAGAGAGAAAGAGAGAGAGAGAGAGAGAGAGAGAGGGAGAGTGTAGAGGATCAAATCAGAACACTATTGGCAGCGGAGGAATAATCAGCGTCAGCGGTGCTTTACCGTGCACGGCCCCTCCTGGTGAACGTCACGAGTAAAGGCCCTTTGTTACGAATGGAACGGCCTCCAGCCCGATAGATATCTATTATGTTGTTCACTACGAAACCATTTCCGTCACACTACGAAACCATAATTATCATGCCGATACCGAATGAAATGCCTAATCACGAAATTACCGAAGCCACATAAAACAAGGATCACCAACCTTATGCCGAAATTGCTGCTAATTGACTTTAATGAGTTGCAATTACATCCCCAATATTCATCGTAGCAAAATCCTAACGATCGAGGGAACGCTGATTCAAAAGAAAGAACCGTAGCGGGGCTTATAAAGTCCCTCCGCTAAAGGCTTTGGCCTGGAAAATAGTGATAATTGCAAGCGTTTGCACTTAACAATTGATAAGCACCTTTGCCTACTACGTTGATTTCAATTTCACTGGACTTCACTTTTACGGCAACTCCGGTACGCAAAGTTTAACAATGAACCTGAATACAAGAAAACTGGTTTTATTCAATCAATAGCACATTATCGAGTTTGCATATTTTTCCCAATTTACGTCTCGTTTTCATATCGACGATTTCCCAAAAAAAAAAAACTTAATTAATGACGCTCTAGCAATGTTACATAGCTGGTAGGTCTCGCCAGGAGATTAGCTCGCAAAACGATTCACGGCCGAGAACTGTCGTATGCCTTAAGGTGCCGGGTGATAAATCATGAAAAAACTATCCTTGTTTACTGTGAAACTCAAATTTATGCACGGAGGTTTCGCGAAACCCAAGTATAAGTTGATGGCCAGTCTTTCCCTTAGACTCGAGCTAATTCTCGTAATTGCAAACTCTAAGTGTTAGCGAAACCGGCTTCTGTTTCAATGACTTTCCATCATCACGTTACCCTGAGGCCATCGGTCATCTACACAAGCCGGGTTGACGGTGATCAGTTCTAAACAAGTGTTCTATTACTGAGATCCTTGTGGCCAAGAGCGGTCTAATTAGTTGTTGATCGGGTCGAGCTCAATTGAAGATATCACCAATTATTAGCTATGCAAAACCTGTCCGTATCTTTAATGTCCTAGATGGGAATTTATTGCCGGCTGCGAAATCAAGACTTAAATTCAGCATCCCCTTGTCTAAATGATTCTCTAAATGATACCTTCTGCCTATCATGGAGCGAAACCGGGAATAGAAGACTCTGTAAGTTATGTTACTTGACTATTAACCCTGTCGGCTTGTCTTAACGTCGATCAGGCATCTCACATACATATTCTCTACCTGTCAGTGTCTGAGCGTAATCGTGGTCGGCTCGGCCCCCTTGAAAGTGTCGTGTCTGTCCTGCAGACGGCACTACGGTCGCGTGTCACGCCGGTAACCGAGGAGGGCTCGGCTTATCGTTTCTGGTTCACTCCCTAGATGGCATAAGCGTTCACTCGCATGACAGGGCGGCGGGCCGCCCAAGCGTCCCTCCCCCGGCCGGGTTAATTGCGACGCTCGGCCCCACCGGCCGGGCTACCGGGCGGAGTCCCCGCCCCCTATTTGAGTCATCGACCCGTACGGACCAGGCGGAGCGGCAAGCATTCCTTGTGCTGAGATTATTACGGGCTGGAAAATGTGGACGGATGATAACCCGGTCAGTGCTGACCAGGCGACAATCGAACAGCTCCCGTGCGAGCGCTGCGTTGTCTAAGGCAGGATAATAACCCGGTCCGTTCTGACCGGACGACAATCAAACAGCTCCCGTTCGAGCGCTGCATTGTCTTAAGGCAGGATAATATCCCGGTCCGTTCTGACCGGGCGACAATCAAACAGCTCCCGTTCGAGCGCTGCAGTGTCTTAAGGCAGGATAATAACCCGGTCCGTTCTGACCGGACGACAATCAAACAGCTCCCGTTCGAGCGCTGCAGTGTCTTAAGGCAGGATCATAACCCGGTCCGTTCTGACCGGGCGACAATCAAACAGCTCCCGTTCGAGCGCTGCAGTGTCTTAAGGCAGGATAATAACCCGGTCCGTTCTGACCGGGCGACAATCAAACAGCTCCCGTTCGAGCGCTGCAGTGTCTTAAGGCAGGATCATAACCCGGTCCGTTCTGACCGGGCGACAATCAAACAGCTCCCGTTCGAGCGCTGCATTGTCTTAGGGCAGGATCATAACCCGGTCCGTTCTGACCGGACGACAATCAAACAGCTCCCGTTCGAGCGCTGCAGTGTCTTAAGGCAGGATAATAACCCGGTCCGTTCTGACCGGACGACAATCAAACAGCTCCCGTTCGAGCGCTGCAATGTCTTAAGGCAGGATCATAACCCGGTCCGTTCTGACCGGGCGACAATCAAACAGCTCCCGTTCGAGCGCTGCAGTGTCTTAAGGCAGGATAATAACCCGGTCCGTTCTGACCGGGCGACAATCAAACAGCTCCCGTTCGAGCACTGCATTGTTTTAGGGCAGGATCATAACCCGGTCCGTTCTGACCGGACGACAATCAAACAGCTCCCGTTCGAGCGCTGCAATGTCTTAAGGCAGGATAATAACTCGGCCGCGAGTTGGCCAGACGACGAGGATGTGGAATCAGTTCAGGTGCTTCGGGGTCAGCCTGGTCACTCCCGCGCTCTCCGAAATTAGTGTAGCTGGGCCCGTCCCTTACGCGGTACCTCTCCCCCCGAAAAAAAACTGCGCCAATCACCGACGGCCGTGCCGGCTGACTCCGCCCATGTTAAGCGAGAGTGGACCCTACCTATCCTTGAACATTCGGAAGAGAACGCGAACAGACATAGATTTTAATGTACTTACGATAACTTACAAAAAAAAAAAACACGCTAAATCGAGGTAACTGTGACTCATCATTATCAAGTTTAAAAATAACACCGAGGCAAATATCTATTTCACTCTCATTATTACGAGTTAGAGCTTTAACGACGGTCACTAGTACAACAACGACTCGGCGTGATACTGCGTGCGTTTTCCCAGTGTTTGTGTTCCGCGAAGAAACGGCATGCTCACGGGTGAGAGCAGTGTGAAGGGTGATGTTTCGCTTGGTTTTTCAAGTATCGCCGGCCAAAACGCTCTCGCTGGGTCTGCTCGTTCACCATTTCCTCCCTACTATCCCCAACAGATATGAGTACTTTTCCAAGATATATTCAATCAAACAAGAAGATATGAAACTCGCAATACAAAAGCAAATGATTCAAAAAAAGGAACGGAAAAAAAACTAAATCGACCGGTAACCTAACAAGTTATTCACACAGTTTTGGGGCGGAGCGAGCCCCCAAGCGGCTACAAAATCTTTCCTGCACTCAAACTCATTGACCCCTTGTATCGGATGAAACCGCTTAGGCTTAAAATCTACCCCTCCCCACTAACTGAAAAACCGGAGTAGGCACACTTTAGATGCCTGATGCATAATTGATGCCCCCCCCCCCAAAAAAAGGGATAATCCTGAAGCGCAATTCAATGCCCACATATCCTGCCGGGCCTGAGAAGCCGGGCGGGCTCACCTCGCCCGCGGAAAAAAAAACATTTGACCCAACGTATTTACAATCTCGGATCGACGTATTTCATCGAGCCTCGCCGTTATCGCGCCGCAGTATGATCTATACCGGGTGGGCGATGTAGACTTACTAAACGAACCCCCTCCCCCGACCGGTGAATGTCTACAAAGGGTTGGACCATACCCGGGGTGGCACCCGCACAAACGGAAAGACCAACAAGTATCATAATTGTAACCGGCGGCTAGGGGTGAATATGAATTATGAGGCGTGGTTACATGGTGAAGGGGGCCAGGATGCGTTCTGATGTGTCCGCTTCAGACTCACTTGCAACCGATGGTCGCCGAAGAGGCTGCTGCGAAGTGTAGCGCTGACTGGATCTCGGCTGCGTGGTGACGCCCGGAGGAGCACTGTTTGCGAGTGACGTCCGGAGGAGCAGTGAGAGGGAGCGCCGTCTCTCCTCCCCTTTTTATGCTTTCCGTCCTTTCTCTCGATCTTTCGCCTTTCACCGACGCCATTTTGCTGGTTTCTCGCGATTTCGAGGGGCCTTGTGCTCAGATGTTCTGTTCTTTGTGAATTTCTTTCGCTTGATTCTGGCCTTAGTTATACAAATTTCTTGTTCCATTTCACGAAAGTTGCAATTGCAAATCCTTTTCTGGAGGCGTTTGCTTGGTTTTGTAGGCGGATGACCTGACAGTATTGCTGTAGCTGTGGTCTTCCCCTTCTTTATCGGGTTTTTCTTGTGCTGTAATCCGTTAATTTTACTTCAGCTCGGGTTGATTTTAAATTTGTCTTCACTTCTCATCTTTGCTTGTTTTGGGCTTCTCTTCAGAAACCGCTCCAGATTCCTGATGAGAAAATTGCTGTTCTTTCGTGTCTCGGCATGGCGACATCCAATATTTGCCTCATCTTCAATTTGACGCATAGTCAAGCTCCCTGGATGTTCATCTCTCACAGATGTTTTATCTTTGCTGGTTTAAACGGAAAACTGTTAGCGTGGCTATTCGTTCCGGCTTCTGAAGTGGATGATTTCGAGAAGTCCGGAATGCGGCCACTCGCTGGGTTTTACGTTCATCTTCTGGTAACTTGATCCATTCGGTAAACAGCAGGTCCTTCCAAATTTACAAGTGACATGTTGCAGCTCTGGGGTTGGGCGATTTTCTGCAGCGCAACGATTTCATCTCTAGTTGACACTTCATTGGAAGTATATGCCCATTTATCCGTGTTGATATAACGGGCCCTTCTGAATTTGTTTCAGCTGTGTAAAAAAGATATGTTCCACGTTCATCTTCTGGTGACCTGACCCGTTCTGGTAACTTGATCTATTCGGTAAACAGCAGGTCCTTCCAAATTTACAAGTGACATGTTGCAGCTCTGGGGTTGGGCGATTTTCTGCAGCGCAACGATTTCATCTCTAGTTGACACTTCATTGGAAGTATATGCCCATTTATCGGTGTTGATATAACGGGCCCTTCTGAATTTGTTTCAGCTGTGTAAAAAAGATATGTTCCACGTTCATCTTCTGGTGACCTGACCCGCTCTTTAAATTCGGCGGATCCTTCCAATGTGCAATTAACCGGTTCCCTTTTTGCGGGTTGAGTGAAATTCTGCAGCGTCTTGGTTTCATTTCCGGTTAACTTTTCTTCAGATTTGGTGAGCTTTTGTGCGAGGACTCAATTGCAGCGAATTCCTTCTCTGTTGATTTAGCTGTTTTGAGCTACACGGGCGATTTCTCTTCTTTTAGTGGTTCTTGATTGTGAATTCGCTATTTTGTATGTAATTTACTAAGCCGCTCATCAACTCAGACAATTTGGTTCCGTTCATACTACCACTCTTCCGCTGATGTTTTGCGTATTTTCTGTGTACTGCCGAGCCGGTATCATGAAACATCTTTTTTTTTCAGTCTGTTTGCCGGCGGTCGTGCAGCCGGGTCAACTGTACATTGGGTCAACTGTACATTCATCTGTTCTTCCTTGCCGGTTGTCTTTCTTCCGTTGAGTTAATAAGCATCCTGAACCAGAGAATAGTATACCGTTCTCATTTAGCTTCGGAGCTTTGGTTTGCAGCACCGACAATTTCCCTGCATTGCTTTATGTCTTGCAATGATCCCTGTCTCCTCCTGATGGCTTTTCTATGCAAGGGTTGGATTTGATTGTGGGTTGTCGGGTATCTACGGATTCGCCTTCGAATGGTGGTTTCAGTCGTGCAATTGTCGTTGTTGATTTGGCCCGCTGACTGCTGTTGCAACGTGTTTGTTGCTCACTCATCCCTTGTTTTTCCATTTGGCGTACCACCTGCTTTCTTAATGACTGAAGCCGGAGAAGGGCCGCTCTAATTGTTGGCGTCGCCTTTCTAGTACGTGATTACTGGAAGCTCAAACTGATCCGCATCTGCTACTGGGAGCATCCTGAATGGCCGTTAGTCTGGTCATAGACACTCGTTACAGTCGTTTCTGCCGCGCCGATCGCCTCCAATCTGTCGGCGGCGGCGTGTGTGCCTGCTCCATTTCTGCGCCCTTGGGGCGGAATGCTTCTCCGTTCTGCACGTAGCGTGGGAGAGTGAAGGGATGATTCAGGATAGGAACACCTGTCGCTGGGGACCCTCTGGGCCAGTGAAGTCCAGACTGGGTTCAACATTTTTATACATAGTCCGGTGGAAAAAATGTAATCTCATTACATTGACATAAGGTCGCAGACATAAGAATCTGAATTAAAACATGGATGGCACTAATACCCTTCCATACCTACACAGGGCTGCGGAGCGATTTATCGACGCCAACTGCATATCTGATTGCGGGTATTATATATTAAACTGCGAATAGGTAGAATTTTTTTCAGCGTCGAGCCAATAGGCGAGAAGTTTAAAAGATTTTTTTCTACCTACGAGCGGTTTAATAATTTTATCCCGTACCGCCGATATGTTTCGGGCGCTTTAAGGTAAAAAATACATTTTATATAAAAATTACGACATAATTCAGACGACGAAATGTCCACTAGACGTTTAACAGTTTGTAAAACGTCTGGACTTTTAACAAATCAGTTAAACAACATCTGATAATTTTCTCTCTTATCACGTGAAGCAATTGTAAACACTGTCTACGGTGCGGGATAACCCTCTTTTAACCCGGCAGTTGCTGGGGTATTTCGCCACCCGCCGTTTGCTGGGGGGGGGGGGCGTTAAACGCCCCCAGCCGATAACTCGAGAACTAATAGGCGCAGCGAAACGCACGAGGCGGGCAAACAAAAGAACGCGACGAGACGCTTCAGATGAGTACTTTAAAGTTGAATTTTGAGGTCACAGGTCGGGTCAAGGTCAGGTCAAACACCTGAAATCGGGCTTTCAGTAGCATGGACTTCAGGATTTCGCAATGGGCGCCTCTCGTCATAAACTCTGTCAAAACGGTGCACAATCCATTCATATAAGGCCTACAAGAGTGTCAGCTCCATGTAGGGGTCAGTCAAGCATAGGTCAGGGTCAAGGTCAGGTCAACCGGGTAGGCAAATATCCCCGAAAATCAAAACTGATATTCGCAGCCTGTGACACATGTTTTGTGGGTAATTTGGGGCGTAGAACACGATGGTGACATTCATTCTATCATATGTGTACGTGTTTGGCTCAAAAAGTTCAATTTAAGAAATGCATGTATCATGGTCGTGAAGTAGTCACGAGAAATTGCCAAGATTCAGTTCAAGATTTTGTAAAATGCGGAACTGTAATCAAACATCGAAGATAGCCATTTGTTTGCTCATGGTATTGGCAGTCTAATGGCGTTTACGGCATGTCTGTATGTCTATTCTGTGATTTTATATGATTTTTTGAACATATGCCGTTTTTGGTCGGAAACTCAGAAATCATGACGTCACTAAAACCTCGATATCTTAAAAACTTTCCGACCGATTTTTTTGAAACTTTGTCACAATAAACTTCAATCAATTCCCTACAGGTACCGAAAATTTGGCGCGGCGCGCGCCATTTTTATGCTATGGCCCGGCGAAAAAAGTGGGGGCGTTTAACGCCCCCCCCCCCCAGCAACTCGCGGGTTAACCCGCATCACGGTGAAATATTCGTAATGTAACTATCAACCCACCATCCTCTTCCCGCGCGAGGCCACCCGACAATCGAGGGGGCTCAGCATAGCCTTTGAAGGCGTGATGCTAGTGTGAGAGGACCTCGTCCCGGTTTGAGAGAGGTCAGGAGGATTTACTCAGTGTGACTGTGGGCCAGCAGGCCTACATTGCAATGTATTGGCCTGATCCCTAAAGGTCAGGTCAACATGGCCCACAGAATTTCCAGCTCTTATCCGACTCAGTCCTAGTCTTAATAGACTCAGACTGCCGATGCCTAATCATACCGTTACCATGTGTGCCGTAACACGACTGGTCGAAGACGGAAAATATATTTCGAATAACCAGCCAAGAGCATGACTTTAAGCCAGAAAATGCCGACTCCATCTTCGGAGTCGAGGTCCAAGCAATTTCAGTGACTCCACATCCTTCTCTGGCCAGTATTATCTCCGACCGTCTCGGGCTACGGCGCCGCAGTTGTGCAGATATAGACTACACTAAATTTCCAACTTAGGAAACTAGCTGTACCTATGTAGGAAACAAGCAGTACGGTTGATGCAGAACCACAAAACTTAGAACGCAGAGCTTCTTGACTTGGTCGCCACTCGCCTGACCTTAGGTGTTCGGATATCTTACATGCTACAAGGGTTGCAACATTTGTGTTTTGGAGCTGTGTTTTGACAAATATTTTTTGCAAATTTTCGCGGCGTTTCGCGCCGCCGATTCATGCACAGGTCAGAGAGATCGTGACTGTAAATACCAAACGTGTCAAATTTGATCGGACTTCATGTGTGTATTGTGAAGGAATTTCGGCTTCTACTACCATTATACAGGTAATGCATTGGGCTAAAAGTGCGGTAACAAAATATCCCACTTTTGGGTTTTAACCCGCGCCGGGCCGGTGCTCTGAGATTCCGCGCCGGGCCGGGGGGGTCTGAACACCCCCCTCCCCCTTCTAACTCGGCTCCTGGGCCACGTAGCGACACGCGGTAAGCGGCAATCGAAAGAACGTTTAACACTTCGATCATTTTTGGGTCAGGTCAAAGGTCAGGTCACCAGAGGTCACCAAAAGTAAAATGTTGACTATTTCAACATTTTGGAAACTGCCGACGGCTATCTCGGGAACCGATAGAGCTACAGCGCCGCGGAAAAGCGCATTCGATAGCCCTTTTACAGACCTTTCTGAGTCATGCTCTCAGATTTGACCTCAGGTCAACGGTTTAGCCTCAAGAGGGAAAAAAACTCCAAAAATAGCCGTTTTTGCGAAAAGCGTATTTTCGGCAATAACTTTTGACTCATAAGAGCCATGACATTACATTTGCCAGCATCGTGTTCCTCTCGTCGAGACGCGTCGAATGAACTATAATTTGACCTTGAAAGGTCAACTTGAAAATTTGACCTCAGGTCAAGGTCATGACCTGACCGGAAAAGGTCATGTTGCATATCAGTCGATCCGCAACGTCGAGCCAAACACATCTAAGGCGTTTTCAGCGCTCTAGCACGCCTCTATCAGAAGTTATTAGCGAAAAACTGTTAGATTCTGCTCGTGACCTGAGATGACTTCCAGGACATAACGAGGGGTCACAGTTGCCATTTTCCGGTTCAGTGTGTCAATCTCACCTACATCTCGATGTTTGAGAGTGTTTAGAATAGCGTTCGTGCATAACAGACGCTTTTCAATTTTCTCCCATTGACTTATAGGGAGAATCGAATGGAGAGAGAGGCCGCAAAATTGACCTAATGGACCTAATGGAGAGGCCGCAAAATTGACCTGACCATAGGTCACCGATATCAAAATTCGGAGATAAACATTTTATAGATGATGTTGCTCTAACCAATCGCTGAAAGTTTCAAGGCAATCGATCAATCCGTGTAGCTATGACGAGCATTCTTATTTTGTCTGAGGTGAGGTCACTTGGCTTGACCTGGTGACCTGACCTAGGGCGACCTGGGTCTGAAATTTTCACAACATGTGCGGAAAAGATGCACGAACAGGTGCCGTTTTTTTTAGATATCTGCGAAAAACCTCAGGGGGGGGGGTGTTCAAACACCCCCCCCCCCCCGGCCCGGCGCGGGTTAAGTCGGCCGATCCGTCCCCCCCCCCCAGTCAAAAATCTGTGGCGACGCCCCTGGTTTACGGCAACTACTGGTACCAAGTACGGGGACCCGCAGTTGCTACTGTACATACACGAACCCCAACTCTAGCCGTCTGTCCTGTCCAGTAACAACCGATAACATTGATATCGACTGCCGGTCCCTGTACAAGAGCAGCTGAGGTTTTCTGTGCGTGCCCTCTGACAGCTTATCGTTGTTCCCTGTGATGGTGCTGGACCAATTTACTCAGGGTCGCTGTACAATAGCAACTGCGGGTCCCTGTACCAACCGTGTTAACATTGCAGGCATCAGTAGGCCACACGAGTATTTTTCCTGTTAGGTGTGCACCCTTCTCGTAAATACGCATCGTGCCGTCAGTTGTTATAAGCCGTTTTCACGACGGCCATCTAGTACACATTTGGTGCGGATTAGGTGTAGATTAGGTGCATATTTGGTGCATATTTGGTCCAAATATGTTCACTGCGTTTCTTTAAAGTCGTCAGTTAGGGCTACACAGATATTTATATACCTCACTCATCAAATCAAACGAAATCATCAGATCATTATTTTCGATTAAAGCACTAAAATAAATTCATGATCTGAAGAATTTTGCTGTGAAAGAGATTTGTGCAAATTTTGATGCGATTTGATTTGGTGCAGTGACCCTCCCGGCTCCCGCCTTCAAAAAAGTTAATGAATTTGCATAAAAGCGAGGTCACGTGGTTCAGAAAGATCAAAAATGAATATACCAAATTTCACCGAAAAATATTCACCGGTTTTCAAGATATTAGGCATTTAGGTACTTTTGTTTCCTTTTTGGCATCTCCGCTATTCCTACGACGTCATTTGGAAGCAATAATTTGGCATCGTAAAAAAGCGGCAGATGCTGCACGCAAAGCAGTATATACCATCACGTTTTAATGATGATTTTAGTATAAGATAAAAAAATCGTTGGATCTGCGCTGACGTCACAAAATCTAAGGGGACATTCAAATGCATTATCCCCTTGGAATCTGAAAACTGCAAGTTTGAAATTAAATGCCAGTTAATGGTAACGTCGCATCCTTGCTCAAACGCGTACGTACAGGTCTCGCGGGTTTTAAGCGTAGGTTTTGCCTTTCCG